GCGTGCCTTGGCCTCTTGGGGCCAGCGGGAATGGCCGCGCCCCCCTCGACGCACTTCGGTCTGGCGACCGTGTTCAGTGGTGCTTCAACCCACTGGTTGCGCGCAGCCGTCCATGAGCCTTAGTTGCTCCGTGAGTGAGGGTTCCTGGTTTAAGCTTCGCTTTCACCGGGTGCCGGGCTCGTCGGCTTGCGGTTCAATTTTCCTCCGCAGGTTCTCTCCGGCGTCGGCTTTTGGCCCGCTGGCAATTACTTGCTCGCCGTCCTGCTTTTGCTGGGCCTGTCGGGGTTCTCCCCTCGCAAGTGCATCCCGGCGTTGGCTTTTGGCCCGCTGGCAATTATCTCGCTTGGCCCCCCAATCTTGCTCTCTCTGGCGCATGTGCACTCCGGCGTCGGTTTTCGGCCCGCTGGCAATTATCTTGCGTGCTGCCCCATGCTCGATGCGACCCGCTCTTTGGAATCGCCCCCGGAGCCGCAGATCAAACAAAAAAATATATCCCCACCAGCCCATCCAGAAACGACGCCCAGGCGAGTTGAGGTGTCTAGGGAAGCGTGGGAATAAAGAGGGCGACAGCCGAACCGAACCAAGGAATAATGAGGAGGAGGAGGAGGAGGCTGGATTGATGGTTGCATGAGGGGTGGGGAAAATGATGATGAGTAGGAGAAGGAGTAGTAGTAGTAGTAGTAGTAGTAGTAGTAGTAGTAGTAGTAGTAGTAGTAGTAGTAGTAGTAGTAGTAGTAGTAGTAGTAGTAGTAATAGTAGTAGTAATAGTAGTCGTAGTAGTAGTAGTAGTAGTAGTAGTAGTAGTAGTAGTAGTCGTAGTAGTAGTAGTAGTAGTAGTAGTAGTAGTATAGTAGTAGTAGTAGTAGTAGTAGTAGTAGTAGTAGTAGTATAGTAGTAGTAGTCTAGTAGTAGTAGTAGTAGTAGTAGTACTAGTAGTAGTAGTAGTAGTAGTAGTAGTAGTGTGTGGTGGTGGTGGTGGTGGTGGTGGTGGTGGTGGTGGTGGTGGTGGTGGTGGTAGTAGTAGTAGTAGTAGTAGTAGAGTAGTGTAGTAGTAGTAGTAGTAGTAGTCAGTAGTAGTAGTAGTAGTAGTAGTAGTAGTAGTAGTAGTAGTAGTCGTAGTAGTAGTAGTAGTAGTAGTAGTAGTAGTAGTAGTAGTAGTAGTAGTAGTAGTAGTAGTAGTCGTAGTAGTAGTAGTAGTAGTATTAGTAGTAGTAGTGTAGTAGTAGTAGTAGTAGTCGTAGTAGTAGTAGTAGTAGTAGTAGTAGTAGTAGTAGTAGTAGTAGTAGTAGTAGTAGTAGTAGTAGTAGTAGTAGTAGTAGTAGTAGTAGTAGTAGTAGTAGTAGTAGTAGTAGTAGTAGTAGTAGTAGTAGTAGTAGTAGTAGTAGTAGTAGTAGTAGTAGTAGTAGTAGTAGTCGTAGTAGTAGTAGTAGTAGGAGAGGAGGAGGAGGAAGGAGGAGGAGGAGGAGGAGGGGAGGAGGAGGAGGGGGGAAAGGGAAAGGGGGAGCAGGGAGGATGAGGAGGAGGAGGACGAGGAGGAGGCGGAGGACGAGGAGGAGGAGGAGCAGGAGGAGGAGGAGGAGGAGGGAGGAGGAGGGAGGAGGAAGAGGAGGAAGCGGAGAAAGCAGGAGGAGGATAATGAGGAGAAGGAGGAGGACACGAAGGAGGAGGACGAGGAGGAGGAACTGGGCGAGCAGAATAGCCAGTGGCATTTTGAATGCCTCTCGTGGTATCCTCGCATGGCTCTTAAACGCATTTCTGCAGGCCTGTTGGGGCGTCTGGGGGGCCTCTCGGCAGGCCCAGCGGTGTTTTTGAGGGTCTTGGGTGCCGCGGGATCCCCCTGAGGCCTCTTGGGGTCTGGGGGGCCTCTTGGGGGCCTCCTGGAAGCCTTTTGGAGGCCTCTCGGGGGCCGCCTGGGTCCTCTTGGGGGCCTCTTGGAGGCCTGTCGGGGCCATCTTTGGGGCCATCTTGGGGGCCATGGAATTTGCATATGCCAATTATTTGTGTGTAAATAGCCATTCGCAGTAATGAATTAACAGAATTAAAATGCAAAGTTGTGAATTAATCGTTTATTATTGGAGTTTTGAATCGCAACCGTGAATTGCCATGCGGAAAACGAGTTTCTAGCCAAAGTTAGGTTCGGGAATAGTTACCGGTGCACTGAATCATGCTAACTCCTCCGAGCCCAGTCCTCTCAGTGTCTCGGGCGCGTTCCAGTGTTCAGTATTTTGCTCGTACAGCAATTTTCTCAGCATTCAGTGGGCGCGCTTTCAGTGCTCAGCATTTTGCTCGTACAGCAATACACTTTCAATTTTCTCAGCATTCGCAGTCTGCTCGGAGTCCAATCGTGATCCATCTGACCACGCGTGAACCCCAGTCCTTCCTTCCTCCTCCCTCCGACCTCCCTCGCACGTTTCGCGGCCCCGCGGGGCGCTCCATCGAAGGCCCTGCTGGCTGCGTCCGCGCGGGCCCTTTATGGCTCGCCGTTCGCGCGCTTGGCCGCCCCATGGGCGGTCTTAGTTCGTCGGTTGTCTTGGGAAATCCCTAGCGCGCCCCAAGGCAACTTTGGATTTTCCCAGGAAGCCCATGTCGTTTCATCCGGGAATGCTTCGCATTTCATTGGGAATCCGTTGCACATCTTGAGAACATCCCTGGTGTCTCCGAGGGAATCCCTGGCATTTCGTAGGAAATCCCTGACGTGCCATGGGAAAACCATCGCACCCCCAAGGGATCCTGAGCGTACCTTTCGCATGTTTTCAGCATTCCCAAGGGACTGCGATGGGCGCTTAGCAGGTCCGAGGAGCCCCGGACCCTTGGGGCCCCCGAGGCAACCCTGTGCTGGTCCGTAACATGTCCAAGGACATGCACATCATATCCAAATGCGTCCCCGAGGATTTATTATTGCGCGTCGCGCGGCGAGCGACGCGCCCCGGCGACGCGCCCACCCCTTGCGCAATGTGGGGCATGAGTAGATTGGGGGACGTTCTACGGAGGTGATGACGTGACATGGGCGGATATACTTTTGCGAGCGGCATTCATTCTTGAAGCTCGCAGCCCTCCAAGGATGGCGACGTCTCGCTCAAATCTGCCTGGTGCCTCGCTCCGCTGAACCCGCCGCCAGCCCTCGAAAGTGGCGACGGCCCCGCAGATCGCAGCCCCCCAGTCACGGCGAGGTCTTGTTCAGATCTGCGCGGTGCTTCGCTCCGCTGGACCCACCAGCAACCCCCGAACGCGGGGGCAATTTCGCAGATCGCAGCCCCCCAGGCACGGCGAAGTCTTGCTCAGATCTGCGCGGCGCCTCACTCCGCTGGACCCACCAGCAGCCCTCGAAAGTGACGACAGCTCCGCAGATCGCAGCCCCCCAGGCACGGCGAGGTCTTGCTCAGATCTGCGCGGTGCCTCATTCCGCTGGACCCACCAGCAGCCCTCGACGTGGCGACAGTTTCGCAGATCGCACCCCCCCAGGCACGGCGAGGTTTTGGTGAGATCTGCGCGGTGCCTCACTCCGCTGGACCCACCAGCAGCCTTCGAAAGTGGCGACCGCTCCGCAGATCGCCATGCTGCCCCCCCCAAGCAGCCCTCGAAAGTGGCGACAGATTCGCAGATCGCACCCCCCCAGGCACGGCGAGGTCTTGCTCACATCTGCGCGGTGCCTCACTCCGCTGGACCCACCAGCAGCCATCGAAAAGTGGCGACAGTTCCGCAGATCGCAGCCCCCCAGGCACGGCGAGGTCTTGCTCAGATCTGCGCGGTGCCTCACTCCGCTGGACCCACCAGCAGCCCTCGAAAGTGACGACAGCTCCGCAGATCGCAGCCCCCCACGCACGGCGAGGTCTTGCTCAGATCTGCACGGTGCCTCACTTCGCTGGACCCACCAGCAGCCCTCGAAAGTGGCGACAGCTCCGCAGATCGCAGCCCCCCACGCACGGCGAGGTTTTGGTGAGATCTGCGCGGTGCCTCACTCCGCTGGACCCACCAGCAGCCTTCGAAAGTGGCGACCGCTCCGCAGATCGCAGCCCCCCTACGCACGGCGAGGTCTTGCTCAGATCTGCGCGGTGCCTCGCTCCGCTGGACCCACCAGCAGCCCTCGAAAGTGGCGACAGTTTCGCAGATCGCAGCCCCCATCGTCGGCGAAGAGAGGGCAGGGGGAGGCGGGAGGCGGGAGGAGGAGGACGCGAACACGCCCCTCTATTCAAAACGAGTACCCGACCAAGGAGGGTAAGGAATTATGTAAAAATGCGTGCGAGGTGCTAAAGATATCGCTTTGCGAAAACGACCTCCTGAAACTATTAAATTATTGTGCGGTACTAACGATACACCCGAGGGGGGTTCTTAAAGGCTTCATGCGGTTGCGCTACAGTCTGTCTCGCTCACTACCACCCGCTCTTTAACTGTACGCGTAGAGCCAGAGACTGAACATGAACAGAGGTCGCCATTGGGTGGACAACCATCGCGAGCCAATACAAATACCAGTTGCGCGACGTTCGCGAGGTGCGCCGCGTGTGCCAGGGGCGCCACGCGCACTAGGTGTGCCAGGTGACCCAGGGGTCCAAGCGTGCCAAGCGCGCTTGGCGCGCGGTGCTCCAGCGCACGTGTTAGCACACATCGGGCAGCATGTAGACCCTTCCCACCATCCTTGCCAAACGCCAGTGCAGACTGTCGGTGGGGTGGTCAGCAAGGTGTAGGACGCCTGCACCCGCAATATGATGCTGCATGTTGTTGTCTGTGTTTTTTGTTTATGGAACAAGAGCGTTTCCCTTGCCAGCGCATCTTCGATGTGCATTGCGCACCCTTCTTCGTCTTGTGTTGCTTCCATGAGGGGGGCGTTTGGATATTCTTTGCCTTTTCCACCGCGTTGTTGTCGCCGTCGCCGCTCGCCTGGCCTGGCGGCATCGCCATGGTAACCATCGCCGTTTGCCATCCGCCGTTGCCGTCGTCGTTCGCCCGTCAGCCACGCCGTCGTCACTGTATCGCCGTCTTCGTTCGCCTGTTCCGTCGCCCAGTCCACGCCAGCGGCCGCGAGCAAGCAGTGCACCGCGGTCTGCGCCTACTTCATGGCGCCGAAGGCGGGCCGCCGCGGGGGAGGGCTCGCCGCTGGGAGGCTGGGCTGCTTGCGCCCGCTCGCGCGGCCCGTGCCCGCGACCGTCGCCGGCAGGTGCCGAGGCTCTCCGCGTCTCCTCCCCCTCCCACAGGCGACGATAGGGGCGAACAGCCCAGGGGAGAGCTCCCAGGCGAATACGTGTAATGCCCGCCCCTGGGCTATTCGACCCCCTCGTATCCCCCGAGCTTCGCCTCCTCCGCCGCCTCTTCGCCTTCGTGTTTCCCCCCTTCGTCCGCCGCCTCTTCCGCCGCCCCTCCTCTCCCGTGGGCTTCGGACGCTGCAGCTCGGGGTGCTGCGCGCCACGGCCAGAGCTGTAGTTCTGGGGGGCCAGGAGGAAGGCGTCCGCTCCAACGCTGGTGGCCCTGTGTGGCTGGGCTTGGGCACCGACGGCTCTTGGTCAGGTGGTTCCCGCTCTGGACGGGGTGGCGAAGTGGCGGTGGGGATTTCGGCCGACCCCCCTGCGGACAGTCCCCCTGCCCTTTGGGCTCCGGCCGGTTGGAAATGCTGATGCGGCGCGCTGGCCCGTGGCCCACTGGTGCGGTACAGGGTCACACATCCAACTCACCTCCTGCCCCTCTGCTTCCTCCTTTCCTGTCGGTCTGCCCCAACATCTTTGAGTTCCTCTTCCTCTCACACTTGCTTTTCTTCTTCCTCTTCCTATTATGACTTTGCCCAATCGTCTTCTCCCTTCCCTCTTCCTCTTGCTTTTCCATTTCCTTTCACTCAGCGGTGCGCCCGGCAGGCGGCCGTGGACGATGTGTTCAAGGACCCTGGTGGTGGGAAGGGGACACTCGCGCGCTGCTTTATAGCCCTGAGAAAGATGCTGTCGTCGTCGTCATCGTCGTCGTCGTCGTCCCAGGAAGAATGCGGATAAGAAAGAGGATGAGGAGGAGGACGATGATGGTGATGATGATGATGATGATGATGATGATGATGATGATGATGAGGATGAGGATGAGGATGATGATGATGATGATGAGGATGAGGATGATGATGATGATGATGATGATGATGATGATGATGATGATGATGATGATGATGAGAAGGAAGAGGAGGAGGAGAAGCATGAGGACGAGGAGGAGGAGGACGAGAACGAGAAGGATGATGAAGTGCATCAGGAACGGGTATGCGAGATGAGGGGGCGGACAGAGTAGGCAGGAAATAGCCACAGAAATGGTGCCGCAGATGGGCCTCCTGCCTTCCCCTCCCCAATTTCTCCCCCATCTTGCACCTCGACCCCATCCTCGACAACGCTTTTTTTGACGCATGTTTGCCCCCTGGGAACATGGAGAGAAACACGTTTTGTCAGCCACATGTCCATTGCCACGTGGCTTGAGTTGCAGGTCAAGTGCTAGCCAGTGCCAATCGGCGCTCGCAGTGCTGGCCGGTGGCCGAAGGTGCGCACAGGGTGGTGCGCTTCTGACAGAGAGGGTCGCGAAATAGATTCGCATTCTCGACTCTGAGTCCCATCTCCCATCCTCGTCCTGATCCTCGTCATCGTCGTCCTCGTCCTTGTCCACGCCCTCCTGCTGCAGCTCGTGGTCCTCGTCGTCCTCGTCGTTGTCGTCGTCGTTGTCGTCGTCCTCGTCCTCGTCCTCGTCGTCGTCGTCCTCCTCCTCCTCCTCCTCGCACGCTCGCTCGCTTGATCAGGACACCATAAGGATCGAAGCCCATGCTTTAAAGACGAGAGGAAGGCGAAGGCAGTACCCCCTATCATGCACATGCAGAGGAGAGGGGAGGGGGGAGACGACGTTAGGCCACCGAGGTACCAGCCTTGTCCTGAGCCGCCTGGGAGAGAGCACTGGCCGTTAGAGCCAACGCAACAGGGGTCGTCCTGCCGGTAACCTCCATGCTCGGAAGAGCGTGCCCAACTCTGTGGTGGCACCTCCCAGCAAAAATGCTTGCCAGGTCAATGTCGATGGGAGCTAACAAGGAAGATGACAACAAATGCGGAGATCCCATCGTGCACATGTCAACGTCAATATGCTGAGAACACCCGCTTGCACAAATAGCACTCAAAGTAGGCAAGTCAACGATGCAGGGATGGCTATGACTCCTGGAGAAGGGAACACACAGGATAAAAGAAACATGCGCAGCCAGACAACACAAGGCAATCTCCACAGCGGCCTGCAGCTGCAGGTTATGCGTCTCCATCGTGGACGCCACTTCAAAACTCACATGTGGGACACTCCATGGGTGCATCCTGGAGTGAATCACCTTGGACTGGGGAAGGGGCCTCCAGGAGGCTACGAGGGGTTCCAACAGCATAGCAGCAACAAGCCCCTTGGACATTTTTGTCAGACCACCTGGGAACATCATCCGCAACTAGCCCATGGCAAAGCTGGATAGGAGATAGCAGAGGAGAGCCAGGAGAGGAATAAATAATGGACTGGGAGAAAACTGTATTTCCTCTCGCTTCGGCCGTGCCGTGGTGGCCCAGGTACAAATCTTGGCTGGTCGCGACATACAGGACCTGACGCCCCTGGGAACTGCACGTCGCATCGTGGGACACCAACTGGGAAGCAACTGGAGAGTGGGGAAGGGGCTCCTCGAACTCAGGAACACGGAGGCGGAACCTAGGACCATAGGTTATCAGAGTAGAGATCGTGGCACGAGCGTCAGCTTTGCCTGCTCTCCTGTTGACTCTGGCGACGTGTTGCCGATTTGCCCTTGAGAACTCAAGCTCACTGGTAGATGGGCGGAGGGGTGACCGCTTCCAAGCCAGAAAGCACGGGCGGGACATTCGAGCGTGCTTGATCAACCGATTATCATCCCAGATTTGCCAGCAACGAATCGGGCACATCGAGCCAGTCATAAACTGCTCAGGCGCATCACTGGCCTGATGGAACTTAGTACTGTGTATCCTTAGCAACCTAATGGATTTGGCTACGTGGCCGCACTCGTAGCACATATATTGCACGGGGTGAGGCGGGGGAGGCATACCCATATCTTGGTGTACTTGCACACTGTGATCGTGCTGGGCATGCTGGTGAGCCAACTTCTGGGCCTCAACTTCGAGGCCATGCAGCTTGATACATTATCCGGGCGAAGGACCCAACCATATGTAGTTGTGGGAAACGCGTTGTGGGTGCCGCTTCCGTGGGCCACGCAACGCGTGATGGGGCGTGCGGTAATGGGTGGGGGGGACGCATGCGGGTGGTCCCTTTGAGGCTTTTGGTGGAGCTCCATGTGGGGCCACGACGCGCTGTAGTGGGCTGTGGAGACGCATGCGGGCGGTGCCATTGGGGCCTTCGGTGAGGCCCCCATATGGGGCCACGAAACGCTGTATCGGGTGGGTGTGGCGCATGCGGGCTGTCCCACTAGAGCCTTCGGTGGAGCTCCCTATGGGGCCACGGAGCGCTTTACTGGGTGTGGTGGGCGCATGCAGGCACCCCCGCTGGAGCCTTCGGTGGAGCTCACTATGGAGCCACGAAGCGCTGTGCTGGGTGTGGCGGACGCATGCGGGCACCCCCACTCGGGCCTTCGTTGGAGCTCCCCATGGGGCCACGGAACGCTGTACTGGGTGTGGCGAACACATGCGGGCGCCCCCGCTGGGGCCTTCGGTGGAGCTCCCTATGGGGCCACGAAGCGTTGTACTGGGTGTGGCGGACGCATGCGGGCACCCCCCACTAGGCTTTCGGTGGAGCTCCTTATGGGGCCACGAAAAGCTGTGGCTGACGCATGCGGGCACCCCCACTGGGGCCTTCGGTGGAGCTCCCTATTAGGCCACAAAGCGCTGTACTGGTTGTGGCCAGGGCATGCGGGCACCCCCACTGGGGCCTTCGGTGGAGCTCCCTATGGGGCCACGAAGCGCTGTACTGGGTGTGGCGGACGCATGCGGGCACCCCCGTGGAGCTCCCTATGGGGCCGCGAAGCGCTGCACTGGGTGTGGCGGGCGCATGCGGTCACCCCCACTTGGGCCTTGGGTGGAGCTCCCTATGGGGCCACAAAGCGCTGTACTGGGTGTGGCGGACGCATGCGCCCCCCCCCCCCCCACTGGGCCTTCGGTGGAGCCCCCTATGGGGCCACAACGCGTTGTACTGGGCGTGGCGAACGCATGCGGGCATCCCCACTGGAGCCTTCGGTGGAGCCCCCTATGGGGCCACGAAGCGCTGTACTGGGTGTGGCGGGCGCATGAGGGCACCCCCGCTGGGGCCTTCTGTGGAGCTCCCTATGGGGCCGCGAAGCGCTGCACTGGGTGTGGCGGGGGCATGCGGGCACCCCCACTGGGGCCTTTGGTGGAGCTCCCTATGGGGCCACAAAGCGTTGTACTGGGTGTGGCGAACGCATGCGGGCATCCCCACTGGAGCCTTCGGTGGAGCTCCCTATGGGGCCACGAAGCGTTGTAGTGGGTGTGGCGGACGCATGTGGGCACCCCCGCTGGGGCCTTTGTGGAGCTCCCTGTGGGGCCACGAAGCGGTGTACTTGGTGTGGCGGGCGCATGCGGGCACCCCCATTGGGGCCTTCGGTGGCGCTCCTTATGGGGCCACGACGCGTTGTATTGTTTGTGGAAACGCAGAGAGGAGGGAGTCGGGGGGGGGAGGGGGAGGAGGAGGAGGAGGAGGAGCGGAGCGGGGACGAACGCGGTGACCGTCTATTCAAAACAAGGACCCAACACCGTAGGATGGTTGGGAACTTAGCCTGGCGAAGGACCCAACCATACTCAGTTGTGGGTCTCGCATTCGGGGGAGCCCCGTATGGAGCCACGAAATGCTGTATTGGGTGCGGGGGACGCATGCGAACTGCGCCACTGGGACCTTCGGTGGAGCTCCCTATGGGGTCACGAAACGCTGTACTGGGTGGGGGGGGCGCATGCGAACTGCGCCACTGGGACCTTCGGTGGAGTTCCCTATGGGGCCACGAAGCGCTGTACTGGGTGGGGGGGGGGCGCATGCGAACTGCGCCACGGGAACTTCGGTGGAGCTCCCTATGGGGCGGCGCTGCCCTGGGTGGGGGGGGCATGCGGGCTGTGCCACTGGGACCTTCGGTGGAGCTTCGGTGGAGCTCCCTACGGGGCAACGAAACGCTGCCCTGGGCGGGGGAACCGCATGCGGGCTGTGCCACTTGGACCTTCGGTGGAGCTCCCTATGGGGCCACGAAGCGCTGCCCTGGGTGGGGGAGCATGCGGGCTGTGCCACTGGGACCTTCGGTGGAGCTCCCTATGGGGCCACGAAGCGCTGCCCTGGGTGGGGGAACCGCATGCGGGCTGTGCCACTGGGACCTTCGGTGGAGCTCCCTATGGGGCCACGAAACGCTGCCCTGGGTGGGGGAACCGCATGCGGGCTGTGCCACTGGGACCTTCGGTGGAGCTCCCTATGGGGCTACGAAACGCTGCCCTAGGTGGAGGAACCCTATGCGGGCTGTGCCACTGGGACCTTCGGTGAAGCTCCCTATGGGGCTACGAAAGGTGTGAGGGGTGTGCCGATAGCAGAGGCAAGGAGGGGGAGGAGGGAGGAGGGAGGGGAAGGAGGAGGAGAGGAGGAGGACGCGGGGCGCTGTCTCTTCAAAGCGGGGACCCAACACCACATAATGGTTGGGACAACTATTGTCGGCCAATCTACAAACCCTGCTCGACGAACAGCTCACTTGGCACTCCAGGTGCCATACGCGCTTGGCGCCTGTGGGAGCACGTGATATTAAAGAGGTGGGCATTTTCCTAGACTCTCGTGCCAACCTGGCCAGGGAAACATCTTCAGCTGCAGGTCCTGTGTAATCTCCTGGTAGCTGTTGTCGAAGCCACTGGAACTCTGCGCGCAGCTCTGTCACCCAACCAACT